TCGGAGGGCAAAAGTGCTCCTGCCCAAGTTCCACCTCGAGACGGCGGCGCTTCGTCCTGAAAGTCCTCTCATTATTTTTTCTAGGTCAAAATGACGTATATACTAGAAGAGGGGCACTAGAGGTGGGCCGAGGAGGGAAGAACCCACCAGGGCGCGCCTGGGCTCCCTGGCGCGCCCAGGTGGGTTGTGCCCACCTGGTGGGCCCCCTCTACTACTTATTGGCTCAAATATTTCTTATATATTCCATAAAAAATCTCCGTGAAGTTTCAACTCATTTGGAGTTGTGCAGAATAGGTAGCCTGACATAGCTTTTTCAGGTCCAGAACTTCATCTGCTGGTATTCTCCCTCTTTGGGTGTACCTTGCATATTATGAGAGAAAAGGCATTAGAATTACTTCAAAATGTATTATTATACATAAAAACAATATAAATAACAGTAGGAAAACATGATGCAAAATGGACGTATCAACTTGTTGCTCGAGGAACTGATGGAACGCAGAGTCAAAGGTCGTCGGAGCAGCCGATGATGAACTTGAGCATGCGGAAGAAGAGGGATCTAACACAGGAATATGATGGGTTGATGTGGAGCCATCCTGGCCCATTCGTGATGAACATGAGAGAGTTGAAGATACAGTTGGTCGTAGCTCCTATCTGGAGTCGGTCTTGGACCAGCGCAACCCTTTACTGGTGCACCAAAACGGTACTAAAAACTATTATTGCCTTCAATATGATGTATAGCATGACTGGAATTACCTAAAGGGACCACACACGGGGTTTTAACCAGGTTTGGGCCTTGTGGTTGAGATAATACCCTACTCTTGCTTTGCTTTTGACTAATGGTAGAAATGCCTCATTCGACGGGGGTAGAGATTGGAGGTGGTAATTGCTACCGAGGTATGAGCTATCCAAAAGATGCCCTCGACCTACCCCAAGCCTCGCCTTATAAATGGGACGAGAGCTAGGGTTTACAGGTTGTCGAACTAACCAAGCCTTGAGAGGGTCTGGGCTTGCACTCCAAGATGATGCCTTATCTAGAGTCAAACCTTATGGCGACAAAAGGGCCTAGTCTGTAGCTAGGACTTGTGGGCCCTGAGGCCCGCCTAGTGGCGGGCTTCCCGGCCGATGAGCCACCCCAATATAGTGTACCGTCAACCGTCATATGACATAATGAAAGAAGGAAGGACTCTACAAATAAGGAAGAAGGATCCCTATACCCTTGGTGAACTAGTGTAAGGGCTAGACTCCAGTGCCTGCATGCCCAGGCATCATCATTGGAGCCTTTAATATGTTGTACTACATAAGGGGCACTGGCGGCATTATAGAGGGGTGGGGGCCCTCTCCCGCTCCATTGTAGTCTAGACCACCTAGAAAGCAATCAACGGTTATCACCCAAATATCCGCCATATCATCTCACCAAGATACTCTATCTCATCAAGATCCTCCCCTCGACATAGTAATCTCTGCACTCTCTAGTTACATACAGGAAAAGCGTAAGGCAGTAAGTAGGGCTTTTATGGTTTTACCCATGTCGGGGCTTGAACCTGGGTACATCGTGTGTTTGTGTGATCTATGTTCAAGACCCCCTTGTCTCCTGACGTGATGTCCCCTTGACTACAAATTCAACATACTCCTGATTGTACCGTTGTTAGGATCGAATAAATGTCCCTCGACAGTTTCCATCCTCGAGCAAATTGTTTTGGAGAACCATTTCTAGTAGTTCAAGTGTTGTCAAGGACGGTGGATGGTATTGTTGCTTATGTGTTGCTAGTTGTCGGCCCCGTTGGCTCTCTTTATTTTATTTTATTTTATTTTTTAGTCTTTTGGCTATATGCATTGTTGATATTTTGACTTGGTCTTTATATTGTGTCGTTGCGGATGCCAAATATAGTTAGTATCCTCTTAATATTAATGAATTACCCTTTGTTGGGAAAAGGGGGAAATTTTCGGCGTGCGGGAGCATAAGAGTGGGGAAGAACAATGGTGCACTCGATCAAACTGTTTGCAATTACTGCACCAGTACTTATAGCAACTCCAATAGCTCCACTAAAAAACTTCCTGTAAAAGTAGTTTTAGGGGATGACCGTAAAATGTCAGGGAAGTTGTATGAGACCTACTTTTCTCAGTTCTCGTAAACTTCTTCCCCGTAAAATCTCTTTTTGCTTCTACTTTTCCCTTAAAGAACCATACAAATCACACGTACAAACATGTAACATCATCATCAAAATTCAAACCATGTTATATCAAACATTCATGCTTGATAAATTCAAATCCACAATATATGAAAATTGGTTCAAATTCAAATTCAAACATAATGGATGGTCCAAATCATTGCAAATAGAACATAATATACATTTTATTGACGTTGAAGAACCCACAAATGCTCAAACTAGATCATCATGGAGTTGTTCATGACCAGCATGGTTTTCGATCAGTTGATGTATCTCAAGAAATTCATGCAGTCACCATTCATCCCTTTGTGGCCGAACTGGTGGTATGTAAACTTTATTCCCCTCATCTCATAGCGATAGTCAGGAGGTTGGTCCCTCTCGTCCTCTATGATCATGTTATGCAATATGACGCGCACAGTCAAGCCACAAGTCCTTTTGATCCCAGAAGTGTGCATGACCATGAACAATGGCGAAACGAGCTCAGAGAACCCCAATTGCCCATTCGACATCCTTTCTACATGCTTCTTGTCCTAGCAAAGTGAATATGCTTGTTACTTTGAGGGTTTGATATTGTCTTCACAAAAGTTAACCATGCATGATATATGCCATCAGCAAGATAGTAGCCCATGTCATTGACGCCCATTGATTTCTAAATTCACTGGAGGTGCCTCCCCAACAGAAATCCTTGCAAAAAATGCTATCTTTGCAAAACATTCAGATTGTTGTTAGAACTTGTCAAACCAAAATATGAATGCCAAATCGAGAGGTCATGTGTTTGCCACAACTTCAAGAATTATAGTTGCATCTTTACCTTTTTCCTTTGAACTGTACATGCAATGTTGTAGGACAAGGGTTCCACTTCCAGTGCATGGATTCAATGCTTCCAAGCATGAATGGAAAGCCTTTTGATGCACCCATCTAAGAAAGTCTTACAATGTCCTCATCATTTGGAGCTCAGAGATATTCTTCTCTGAATATCTCAACGATGGACCTCACAATGTTTTTCAACAGATCATTAAAGTACTATTTGCCATTCCAATCTAGTCAATAGAATCGGCTGGACAACCATATGCAAGAACTCAAAACACAACATAAATCTTTTTCAAACTACCGTGACCTTGTTGACCAGCTGCATTTTTTGTGTGAAAAGAACAAGCAATGATCTTCCATGGCATGAGCAATGCGCAAGAACAAACCAATTGACATTCAGAATCTTCTCGTAATTCTTTTAAACCATATACCAAATTCTCACCAAAGTAGTCATCCAACGGCTTTTGGTTACTAGCTTGCCTGTTCTGACGGAGCACAAGATGCCCAGACACTGAACATCCCCATTTCCGCTTCTCTTTTGTCATCGTGTCTGCATACAAAGCCGCTACCAATTAGATTTCTTCGTCCTTGTCCGAGGATGAGTCCTCGGAAAAAATTGAGCAAGAGCGTTCATTGTAATGAAAACGATGTCAAAAAATATGAACACAAATATTGTGAAAAAAATTCTATTCAAACATGAAAAATATTGGGTCATTAAAATCATCAAAGACCTTCGTTGCACGGAGGGCGGAGCTGCGCGTGGCAAGGCGGGAGAGGAGGTGGAACATGGAAAGCGGAGCCGTGTGTGGAGTGTCCTCAGCGGCCAGAGCGGGGCGCGCGGCGAGGGAGGAGGCGGGGCTGCGTGGTGGCAACACGCTGGCCAGCCGCCGTGCAGTGGTGCGTGTATGGGCTGAGCGCGGTGCTCCTATCATGAGACTTAAGCCCGCCAATTTTTACACGAATCTATCTTCCCTTAAACATGAGGGAGAATGAAGGTGATTATACGGGATCCCATAAAAATACTTCTGGTTTACAGAAGTTGTTGGAGGTCCTTTTCCCCCTGCTTTTTATAAACAGTATTTTGTTTTTCGGGTTAGGGTAACTATTGGAGGTGCTCTGTCTTTGTCATCGGGTGGAGCATTAGCTGCAGGTACAAAGACACCGGCGGTTAGCTCCCACAAAATTTGAAATAACACACGTGTAAAATAAAAAACCACACATGTCAAACATTCTCAAAAGTATGGCCTCACATGTCAAATACCAGCGACAAACCGTGTGTTGAGCACAGGGAGACACGCCCATCTTTGAAGAAATCAGAGCGTCTAGGTACGAGCATTAGTGTGGGAGAAAAATGGGACCATGTGTTGTTGGCCATCACCATAAACGTAGTTTAACGTACCACTCCTGCAAATGCAATCGTCGTCTCTCTGAACACGAGAACGTGAAATAATACGTACGAATTTGTGAGCACGAGAACAAATCAGTACCAAGTACGTAGAAGAAAGCTATCCTCCAACCTAATACCGCCCCGGTCAAAGCATCCGTGCGTGCGTCCTGCACGGCCTGGCCCCGCAGTCAGTGAAATGTAGGTGCACACACCAACACGAACGCATTGAAGCGGGAGGCGAAATCGTCGCCACATGAAGCTTCCAGTCAGCTTTGCGTTTGGGAGACGCCCCGGAGCGTCACCGTGGCGTCTCCGTTCTCCAGAAACGAACGAGCCGACCCGGCGGTCGCCTCGCTTTCAGACCGTGATCACTCACCCTCCAGACAAATATATATAACCAAGTTATTATTAGCTTCAAACCCAATCAAACCCCCAAAAGCATCGTACACGGGATCTTATCTGAAGATAAGAAGCGTCAGGAGCTTGCAGGAGCCAGACATCACAACCTACACAAGATTTTGAGAAACGTCACGCTTTCGCCGGTCGATCGCAGCGCGACCATCAAAAGTTGCACCGCGGTTCGGCCTGCGTGCGGTGCTGCGTGCCAACCTCTGCGATCGATCAACCCTGCGATCATGGCGGGAACTCGCGTTGATGAGACCACGGGGGGTTGTTCGCCGGCGTGCGACCACGACGGCGGCATTGAGACCGTCATCGACGACCTCCCCGTGGACGTCCTGGGCATCGTGCTCCGCTGTCTCGACGGCGCGTCCCTGGCAGCAGCTGGGTGCGCGAGCGCGGGATTCCGGGAGCTCGCCAACGACCCCGACGCGTGGCGCGCGCTCTGCCTCCAGATGTGGCCGTCGCTACGCCAAGTCGTCAGCTGCGGCGGCGACGGCGGCTACCGGGCGCTCTACGCTGACGCGTTCCCGTTCCCGGCCGCGTCACCCGCGGTGTCGAGCTCCCTCCCGGCGCGGCTCGTCTCGGCCGTTGACCTGCACCACAACGGCGTTTGCATCATGTCGCGCGTCGTCGAGACGGACGCCTCGTCGGCGTGGTTCCTGGGGTCACCGTTCCGCGTGGACGCGCTCGTCCAGGAGGGCTTCACGTCGCCGTCGCCGATCACGCCAGGCGATCTGAGGCTGAGCTGGATACTGATCGACCCGGCAACCGGCGCCGCCGTGAACGTCTCCAGCCGGCGTCCCGTGTCCATCGGACGGAGGTGGGTGACCGGGGACTCCGTGGCGCGGTTCACTGTGATGCTCGGCGGCGGCATCGCGTTGGAAGCGGCGGTTATGTGCGACGACCGGCACGGGCATATCAGGGAAATAAGCCTGTGCGCGGCGGACGCCGAGGGTGGCGGTGTGAGCGGGCAGGACGGGCTGGCCGCGGTGGCCGCGGCCATGGCGAGCGCGAGGCAGCGCCGTGGAGCGGAGGAAGCATCGAGGCAGCTCTACGAGGAGTTCGCCAAGGGGAAGCGGGAAAGGAAGGAACGCAAGGAGAGGCGGGAGCGCATCGTTGACCTCTGCTGCTCAGGCGTCGGCGCTGCAGCTTTCCTGGCTTTCTTGGTGATGCTCACGTTCCAGTGACAGTGCGACGGCCGGCTGTAAATTAGAGTTTTCATTAGTTTCTTCTTTTTATTTCGGTAATGTTATCTCGCTGACGTTCGCTGGGAAGAGGTGGCAAACGAGCAGCCCGAAATTGAGGGACTTGCTCAAACGCACAGCATCTACAAATGGGAATTGACGAATCTGAACCTGTAAGTCTGCGTCCGCGAGCGTAAGCCGACAACTGTGAAGATAACACCCTACTTCCTGCGTGCTACTTTCTCTCTTGTGTATATAGAGTGATTATAAATGGGGTGAATCCTTGACGTTGTGCCCCTCCTAGGCCTATATAGTGTGCCATGAAGAGGAGCAGCAATGATAAGTAGAATAGGTGTGGTTAGCAACATGTAGATGACCGAATGTTACTATATATGGTTATTACAGAAGGTTAAGTCTGTAGTTAATGCGGGAGATGCCTCCCGTGACATCCCGGTTGATCTGCTATTGGCTGACTGATGACTTGATACTCGCTGAGGAGCTTTGTCCGACTGTGGATCCTCTCTGGTTAAATAATTATGTCTGACTGCTAGCACCACCTAGACTTGTTACGACCCTTCTTTATCACTACTAACAAGACTGTAGCGTTTATGGGCCCAGACCTTTAGCTGGGCCCTATGTCATCATGGGCCTATTCCGTAGGTCTTTCCTCATCATTAGCCCCCCAAGTCTGTGTGCGTCTCGCTGAGAAACCGAGTGAGCCCTCAATGGAAAAGGATTCCGACTGGCAATCACATTCGAAAAACCACTTGCTCATAGACAGACCCTTGCGGACTCAAGAGCAAAAATGGATGCAAAGGTTAACTATAAACAAGGTGCAGAAAGGCTCTGTGATACTCTATCATCTTTTGAAAGAGGTTGACTGGTGGCCCGATTGAGGGCGAATCGTGAAATCGGAATGATAAAGAGGATGCTTGGGTTTATTCGCGCTAATGGGTGCCAGTCATTATCTTAGAGGAGCATCATTCTATTTTTGAAATCAGATCCAAGTCTATGAATTTAGCGTTTGGCTCTTTGCTTGAGTCCAACTTGTGCTACGGGGATGCTAAATTCATTGCTTGTTCTTGCCAGTAATCTGGCAACCTCGTTGAGGTGGATTATCACCACCCATTTGCAGAGCAGGTCTGTCCCTAGTGATGTAGCTTGTGCCACTTGAATTCATCATGCCTTCAATGTGGCATTGGTTAGGGACTGGCCCAACAACCGTGTTGGCACCGACCGAAGGGAAACCGAAGCATCGTGGTTGTGGATGATGTTGCAATGAATCTCAAATGATTTGTCACATCAATATTTCTCATTGAATGCTTGCATTTGACCAGTTAGCCGGGGTTATCTCCTCATTCCCGCGCACGACAGATTCCTGAGCGACCGATGATATTGAGTGTTGGAGTGAAATTTATTTGATGACTTTTAGGGTCCTGCGCCAATTAGCCATTTCCTTTCCCAGATCATGTCGTGAGCGGAATTATCGGGACGGTTACCAATTGAGCCCGTTTATAAGTGGGTGAGAGAGAAAGCAAAACCTTTCGTCCCCAAATCTCTTTGTCTTCCTCTTGCTGCGCACATCCAAACCATCGTCGAGCCCTAGCATCGCCTTGCTATCGGTCGCCATGAGCAACAAGACCCGGAAACTGGAGCTCACGAAGGCCATTGCCTCCTCTTCGTCTGCCACCATTGCTAATGACCGACAGAGGGGTGATTGGTTGCCATCGACCGTGAAGGTGGAGATACCCAAATATTTGACCATATAGAGTGCCCCATATTCAGAAGAATGAAATCAAAAGCCGAGTGCATACTCTGTTAGCTAATCGGATTATCAGACCTAGCCAAAGTCCATATGCTTCACCTGCAATTTTAGTAAAGAGAAAGGATTTCACATGGCGACTCTACATTGATTATCAAAAATTCAATGATATAACTATCGAAAACAAATTCCCAATCCTGGCGATATGAGGATTAGCTAGATGAATTATTTGGAGCACAATATTTTTTCTAAATTGGATATCAGGTCAAGTTACCACCAAATAAGGGTCACAGAGGCTGACATACACAAAACAACCATTAGATCCTACTTTCACCATTATAAATTTCTGGTCATGCCTTTTTTAAAGAACATGCAGTGCCACGCCCCCATGTTTGGTTTTGGTAATTGATGACAATCTCTATAGACTAATGGTTGTATTGAGTTATGTTTGAAGGATTTGTCCATCGGAATTTCTTGAAGTCCATTTGTTGGTTTCAAGGAGTTTATATGTTGACCAATGTGCTATTCAAGGAATTATCCAAAGAGTGGTCATGTAGAAGACATGATACAAGGTTGATCAAGACTAAGTAAATAGTGAATCAAGTTGATCAACACACAAAGCGTACAAGATGTACCGAGAAGGATCAAGTGATCACATGGTATGGTAAGCATTGTCCATTACGCTTTGTGTACTAACCCATGATCTACGTGTGAGTTCTATGTGGGGTTAGGTTTGTTTCCATGGGTTTGCATCAAGAGGAAGATCTCATACAACCCATGGAGGATGACATCAAGTGGTGATGGTCATCAAGATTGCGGTGTGCAAGTTCAAGTGGAGCATCACGAAGAGATCATCCTTGAAGCTTGCCGTCCATTGTGGTGTCAATGGACTTATGAATATGTGTCGAAGAGTGGCTCTCCCATAGTGTAGTATGGGGGGCAATCAACTAGTCTTCATCGAGCCAACGTAATCAAGAAAGGTGGTCCAACTTGAGGGAGTCAAGATCGTCATCATCTAGCTCAAGTGGACTATGTGCAAGGCAAAGGTTTGCCCTTGATAGGTTTATGTTTTACCGGTCTCATGGTGGTTGTTGAGAGACTGGGTTATAGGATCAGTTGTCGTACTATCAAGGGGGGCTCGATGAGTAGTTTGATTGTATCATTCATAGAGAGCTCAAACCATTGCATCCTTGCATCATCTTTCTTGGTTCTTGTTTGGTATTTCTCTTGGTGAGTTTTAGAGCTTATGGTCATCTTCATGACAAGCTTGAGTTCATCGAAAACAGAGTTCACATGAATCTTCTATGATGTTTTTATGTTGAGTTTTTTGCAGGTTCTCTTTGTGGGTCTTAGAGCTTATGGTCATCTTGATGACAAGCTCGAGTTCATCGAAAACGGAGTTCCCATGCATCTTCTATGATGTTTTAGATGTTGGAGGTTATGCTTGTTCTTCTCTTTTGGAGGTTTCGATCCTCCATATCTTAGACATACCTCCCCTATCTTGTTGGATGCTACTCGTCGTCATCTATCCAATAAGCTTGAGTTTGCTCAATTCAGAGCTCATATGCAGAAGTTGTGGAAGTTTAGGCTTTATTGCATCCTTTGTTTTCTCTATTGTGTTCGTGAAAGCCTCAAGCAGTAGTACTGCTCTCTAGAGCGGTAGTACCGCTTGTAAGCGGCAGTAAGGTGGCCCCGTGCCGCGTGTAGTACTGCTACTTCTGGGGATGCATTATTTTCGTGTCGGGTTTCGTGGTAGTAGAGCGGTAGTACCTCTTATAAGCGGTAAGCAGTACTTGAAGGAAATATGCCCTGGAGGCAATAATAAAGTATTTTATATTATATTTCCTTATTCATGATAAAGGTTTCTTATTCATGCTATAATTGTATTGGTCAGAAACTTAAATACATGTGTGAATACATAAACAAATAATGTGTCCCTAGTAAGCCTCTACTAGACTAGCTCATTGATCAAAGATGGTTAAGGTTTCCTAACCACAGACATGTGTTGTCATTAGATAACGGGGTCACATCATTAGGAGAATGATGTGATGGAAAAGACCCATCCGTTAGCTTAGCATATTGATCATTCAATTTATTGCTATTGCTTTCTTCATGTCAAATACTTATTCCTTCGACTATGAGATTATGCAACTCCCGGATATCGGAAGAATACCTTGTGTGCTATCAAACATCACAACATAACTAGGTGATAATAAAGATGCTCTACAGGTATCTATGAATGTGTTTGTTGACTTGGCACAGATCAAGATTAGGATTTGTCACTGTGAGTATCAGAGAGGTATCTCTGGGCCCTCTCGGTAATACACATCATAAGCTTGCAAGAAAACAACTAAGGAGTTAGTCAAGAGGTGAAGTATTATAGAACGAGTAAAGAGACTTGCAGGTAATGAGATTGAACAAGGTATGAAGATACCGACAATCGAATCTCGGGCAAGTAACATACTGATGGACAAAGGGAAATACGTGGGTTGTCATAACGGTTCGACCGGTAAAGATCATAGAATATGTAGGAGCCAATATGGGCATCCAGGTTCCGCTATTGGTTATTGACCAGAGAGGTGTCTCGGTCATGTCTACATTGTTCTCGAACCCGTAGGGTCCGCACACTTAACGTTCGTTCAGTTTTTTTACACCTCGTTGACGATATAGTGTTATATGAGTTATATGCTTTGGTGACTGAATGTTGTTTGGTGTCTCGGATGAGATCACGGACATGACGAGGAGTCTCGAAATGGTCGAGAGGTAAAGATTGATATATAGGACGATGGTATTTGGACACCAGAAGTGTTTCAGGACTTACCGGGAAGGAATCGGGTCACCGGAAGGGGTTCTGGGCACCCCCCCCCCGGCAAGATATGGGCCTTATGGGCCAAAGGAGGGGACAGACCAGCCCACAAGGGGGATAGTACGCCCCCTCCCTTTTTGGGCCAGCCTTAGGGAAGGAAAAGGGGGGGGGGGCTAGCCCCTCCTGCCTTTCCCTCTCATGGGAGAAAGGAAAGGGGGCGCCACCCTCCCGTGCCTTTCCCCGCACTCCAAATAAGGAAAGGGGTGCGGCTTGGGAGGGACCCCAAGTAGGATTCCTCCTGCTTGGGCGCCTCCTTTGGCTGCTCCTCCCACCCACCTATATACATGTGGGAGGGGGCGCCTAGCACACAACAAACAACTGTCTAGCCGTTTGCGGTGCCCCCCTCCACCGTTTACACCCCCGGCCATATTTTCA